TTGTAGTTTTTGAAAATCGATCCAATGATTTAACTTCATTTTCTGACGTTTCAGAAGCTCCTGATTATTTCCAGAAAAAAAAGTTGTGTGCGAGAGTGATCCAGTATAGCGGTTTACAATATGTGACATGCTTTGAAACTTCGTTAATGGACGCTTAATGACTTTTTAAGAACTTTGCTAACTTTGAAATTTTTGTTCTTTCGTATTGTTTTTGGGGGTGGAAAATGGCTTCTTAGGCCCGTATCGTCAGTCGTCCCTACAATTGTAGGGCGCCTTTATGGCCTCCTTGATTGTCATAGTTTTCTGCTTCTCCGTGTCAGAACTCTATTTTGAGGTTATGTCACAAACATCTATTTGCATCAAATTGTGCTTGCTTTTGTGTTATATCATGTTTTATCAGCCTGAAATTTCCTACAATTTAAAAGGAAAACATATCTTAACAATAGGAGAGCGCTGACGATGACACGGGACGGGAGTGTAATCTAGAAACTTTTGAAGTAGAGAAAAGAGTATGACAATCAAGGAGGCCATAAACGCGCCCTACAATTGTACGGACGACTGACGATACGGGCCTTAGATACTACCTAAATCGGTTCTATTTTGAAGTGTCAACTTCAGAGAAAAGTTCGTACAAATGTGGCCTAGCTTGATGCAGATTGGTTAAAATTGGCGTTTTTGAATAAGATTATGCCAAAAATCAGATCAGAATATTTTGTATCCGTTCGTGAATACTTCTTGGACTAACCTTAGCCGGTGAAATGTCAGTATAATCTACAAGTCATATGGTACTTTGCTTAAACCAGAGAACTAGATAGCAGGTGTGGGAGAAATAGGAATCTTAATCATACTTTGCGTACTCAACCCATCAGCGACTTATCTAGATTTGCTTTGTGAATTTCTAAATACAACAGATAAATCCCTCTTTTTACCAGTATACTCCTTTTGGACATATTTTGACGACAGCCTCTTCAAAGTACATTGACATAGCAACAAGTGAAGTGAAGTAGTAATCGAGTGAATCGAGGCCAGAGATATAAATAAAAGTAGCATCCAACGTCGTTCTCTCGTAAGTTCTCTGTACAGGAACCTGGTACCGAGAACGGCAAGGAGCCGAAGTATTATTTATTACGTTCGAGATCGGATCTTTTCCGGCGAGACACACGGGAAATAAACAAGAAAGAACATCGAGCATTAAAGTTGAGCAAAGATAATGGCGCTGCAATTCCTTCCGGAAGGGACAGTCGACCACCCGGAGAGAAACTGAATCCGGAACCAGGAGGAGGAAAATAAGGAACAACAGATACTACTGAAGCTACTGCATCCCTTCAATTAACAAAGGTGCTTTTCATTAAAGCATTTGGCGTGATTGCTTTTATGTTTCTCTCCAGACTTTATTTGAACTGCGACTTCAAAATAAAAAGAACATTAACATTGTAAGCTTTTTTCCTCTACAAAACGTGAGATTGGATCTTTGCACAGGTGTTAAGAGTGATCATATTATATTGATATTGTCACACTGAAGTTTTTTAAAAAAGACTAAATTTGACTAATATTGACAGTTTATCTATTTAAATCATCAACGATTCAACTTCTAATAGGCGTGCTTAAGGAACATTCAGATAATTTGCCCGTTTATCGTCTATAACCTCCGTTATTTTAGCACGACAGAGGCGCACTACATGATATCTCTTCCGTAGATTAGTAATATTAGAATGCAAGATGTGTGCAAATGTGAAGCTCCAATATGTTCCAGGCTCTTACTTACTCCAAAATGTTTCAGTCATACAATATAATACTATTTTCAATGTTTTCGATACGACCCTTTATTAGCAAGAAAAAGTCTCAGCATTCGGTTGTTCATTCGATGAGCTAATATAGTCAAAATCACGAAAGCTGACTATTACGTCACATCATAAATTGTACCGAAGTAATCAATGGACGTACGTCGATGATAAAATCACGATGTCAGGGACATAATGGCAACACATTTATATTATGATTTTGAGAAGTTACGTTATTTCACGGATTATTTTTATTTTCATTTTATTTCATGGTTTTGAGTGATACCTTAATAATAATTTTAGTGCAGAGTTTTTGTTTTTAAAAAAACTTATGAGTAGAATACCTTAAGACAGGAACACCAAGGACCAAAGTATTATTCGAAATCAACATTTAACATAACCTAACTATTCATCTTTCAAATACGATCCATCATGCAACATGAAAACATCGCCTATCTTTGTCGGATACATGCAAATTAGCAATACAGTTTGTTTAGACAATAAATTTCTGTTTTTCTCTGTCTAGCATAACTGAAAGTTCATTAAAAAATATCCCTACAAATCGCTGTCGTTAGTCTTTGCTACAGACTAAAATTTCGTGATTTCGACTATATCAACTATTAAAGACAGACTACTTTTCTAGATCAGGAGTCTTATAATATTTGTCCATGTTAAAATATTTGCAATACCACATCATTCAAATCGGAAATATGGTTGTAGATCTATGCGTAATCCATAAAAACTGGAGGCATGCTTGGCTGATAATGATATGAAACACTGATACCTTCGGAAGTTCTGTTTTTTTTAATAGCCAATGTTTGGCAATGCCAATGAATGAATGATATATAACACATTTTTGAAATCAGAATACAAAATCTGTTTACCTGTGCAAGAATCTAACATCAACAAAAATAAAGTTATTTCCCATCTCAGATAAAGCCAGAAAAAAATAAAAACTATCTTCAGCACATTCGGTTTTGTCTATTTTCGGAAATACTCACTTAAAACTAAGATATCCTTCATTAGCTGTTGTTTGAAATATATAGACAAGGTAGTTGTTCCAAAAGATTTATTTCGGACTTCCATTATCTAGAACAGAAATGAAGTAACTCGACGTTCCAGTTGATGAGGAATCCTCAATCGTCTCGAGATGAACTGCCAAGCATTCTCCTTTTCGGTTTCTTATAGTTGCAATTACTGACGTGTCCCTCGTTGTTGACTGAAATGGCGCTCCAGTTGAGCGATTCAGTCTTCCGCTGGACTGTCCGAAATCCTTCCACGATGGTGAAACTAAGCAAGTTGAAATATATTTTGTCAATGTTTTTCATTATAGGCTGCCATATTTGTTTTATTTATTGTGCACCGGATTTGCCAATGTTGCCATTGTTGATAATACATATATGCCGCCTTCTTGAATTTCTTACGGTACCAACGAGGTTCCTTGGCAATCACCTTAGTATGGCGTTGAGGAATTTCATCGATACCGCCGGAAAAAGAAGACTACCTATTAAAATTCAAGTTGAATCCAAGTTCGTTTTTTCATACTTGATCATAGAGGCATGTGGAATTTATTCAACTGTTTAGCCGCAAATGATTTCTCCACTCAATTTCTCACTATTGAACCATTGAAGTTTCATCATAGATGTAATGAAATTCTTTTTCCGGTGCCGTGAATTGCTTACTTTCTGACCTCCCCTCGTATTCACGTTTTCTCGAAGACGTTAAATTTTAGATTAATCATTATTTATAGTTCCGGTATTCTAAAATAGGGAAAGTACCCTGTTCTATATATTATTTTGTCTCCTATAAAGAGTCTCGAATCCTCAAGCAAACCTGATGTTTTTATGACATACCACAGTCGTTTTTGTTGCCAAGTGTTACACACCGAAATAGACAGAAATTGATATTTTTCATTTTCCGTATTAGAATTTATGATAATGAATGAAACGATTTAAATCAATTTTTAAGCCTTGTGGTAGAACTAGACGGTATTCAGGACGTCAGGAATGCGTCTTGAGACAGTGCTAATAGGTCCCGGGATTTGCAGGGGAAAAACAATACGCCAAAGTGGAGTATCGAGGCACTGGCTGAAATAGGAGTAAAATGCCCTCATAACGAACGAGAAGCCTTCGTTCCACATCCCGGTGCCTTGGGGGACTTGTCACACAACCCTCTTGTGGGCCCTGTAAGGTCCCTGACAGTGGGCAAAAAGGCACTAAGGTCCCTTTTGGTTGTAGTCCTGGTTTAAATGCACTTTAGAGTGGTCAGCGTGCGGGAATTGCAACCTGCACGGAGCTGATGCACTGCCGGTCATCGGGGAGGCGCTAGAACTGGCTATAGGCCCTTTCGGGTAGAAAAAGTAGAAAGTAAAGAGTAATTATCTCGAGTCTGACCCTTTGCGCGTGAAGCATCAAATCCCTGAATTATTTTCTTCACTGAAGCTGCCCAGGTAACTGTTTCAGTCTATAGTGTTGTCTCCATACTCTCCCTGTTAAACAGGAGGCTGTCGCACGAGGTGTTGCTGAACTAGAGAGGCAGGTAGTTTGCCAGTTATTGACTCCGAGGAAATAGCTACTACACACAAGCCGACGGCAATGCCGCCGGGTTTATGCCGAGCGGCTATGCCGCCGGCAATACAAGCCGCCGGCACAAGCCGCCAAACATCATTCCGGTTGTGACAGTCACATAGAACACTAGTGAAGTGCATATTTCATGGCTGGTTGGTTAAAATGAATAAGAAAATCATCAGCATAGCCGCCGCAGTTGTAATTTTTATTTTAATAAGAAAAAAATACAAAAGGACGAGAAGGTTTGGGTTGCACTCAAGTTTACAAAATAGAAAATGGCGAAACGGTACTGTAATGATAGAAGAGTATAAAAAAGATGATGTGGGGTGTCAGCGTTTGCGCAATAGCATGTTTTTTGGGTTTCTGTACATCGTCTATGCCTGCACCAGATTTGTGCAACTGTTCGAACTTTTTTAGCTTTCTCTCTACTTCGCCTTTATCAATGTCAAATACGCTTGCAATTATGTTCAGTGCGTCGATTGTTCCTATTCTTATAGTCTGATTTCTGGGATTCCATAATATATCATTTTCATGAAATTTTTCAATTAAGAGCAGCACAGCTTCGTCGTCCCAATTAAACGACATTTTAATTTGTTTAAACACACAAACCGGACAACACTACCGCTCGAATGCCAGGAACGAAGTGACGCCGGCAAGCCGCGTAAGGCCTCTTGCACACGACCGATCATTCCGCCGACCGGTTGTTTCTCCGCCCGGCAAAGAAATCGGGATTATCTTACACACGATAAGCGATCGGCCGGTTACGTGCCGTTTACATTGCCTTCTGCATGAAGGCCAGTGCTGTACTGTCATCCGACGTAGAAAGAGCTTGGCTATTTTCGTTTCGTGCATTGTCAAAAACGAAACGTGAAAAGAAGATCGTGCTTGTGTGTTTATTGTATAGACGAAGAAAATACATGTACAAGAAAGCTTTCGCAAGAAGATTATGGATTCATCCACTGGTAGCTGAATGAAGTGCAGTAGGAGCATTTTATACCTTGTTTACAAGACTACGAGAACATGAAGCAAAATTTTTCAATTACTTTAGGATGTCTGTTGCAACATTTGATTATTGACTACAGCGTTTGGACAAACATATAGCCCTCCAAGAAACAAACATGAGACAAGCGATACCACCCACAGAGATGCTTGCAGTTACAATAAGGTAAGTAATAGAATTAAAATGTGATTTTAGAACTAGATATATTTAAATAAGGAACATAACGAACAAATTAAACAAATCAAGTTCTGGTTGTAGTTAAGTCAGATTGGATAAACTATTGTGGTGTTAAAGATTGTGGATATTCAAGATTATTGTCACAGCGAGATGTAGTTGGATCAAATGACGTACTTGATTGTGGTATTGAAGTCTGTGGACACTGCAATGTATGGTATGTCGGTGTCCACTGCTGGCTGTATGACTGAGTTGCTGGTGGTACAAACGAAGGTAGCGATCTATTGGTATCAGAAGTCATGTTGAAAGCATCACATCTTTGCTTTCGTTTAAAACGTTGTACAAGCTGCAAAACTTCTATGCGAAATTGAAGTTTGCCATCTTCATCAAAGTTTTCTACAACCGGCAAAATGGAATCAAAAAACGATTTATCTTCACTGATTGTGGGTATGCTGTCCGGCTTTTCCAAGATCTATAGCACTTTGGTTTCAAACTCGTCTTGACGTTTCTTTGGTGCTGAGGCACGCTTTTTTGTAAGTAAAGCTTGTGATGGCGTTTGTTTAGCGGTTGATGCATTTGGATTGGATAGATTGATCATATCCTAATCAATTTGAGAATCGCCTTCATTGCTACTATCATCTACATTCTGTTGCGCCATCGTTTCTGTATTTTTTCTTGTGAAATACTGGATGTTGTAGTATTGTGTTCGATTGTTTTTGCAAGGAATTGCAACTGATCGTGGAAGATGTACTTTCTTATTCTCCTAAAACCAGAGCCTGACTTAGGAGTTTTATTTTTTTTATAACTCTTCACAAAACTGTCAAAAAAGTTGTTCCATTTTTGCAATAGTGTTTTAGCTGAAAAAAAAAGAAATAATTAATTTTGTTGCAGGTATTTGGCAAGCGGTATGACTTTCACAGACCTTCACTACGCATACAGATTGGGAACATCAACAATACGTGAAATTGTTAGGGATGTATGCAGGAAAATTTGGGAAATCCTACTTGATGAATGCATCCCACCGCCATCAGACAAGATGTGGAATGAATGTGAAGCAGGATTTGCTAATAATGCCAATTTTCCAAATTGTTTCTGAGCGATAGATGGGAAACACATTCGAATTGTGAAGCCACAACGAAGTGGCTCATTATTTTACAACTACAAACATTTTTTTTCAATCGTGTTATTGGCTGTTGTGGACACATCATACTGTTTTGGATATGTTGACATTGGAGCATACGGTAAAGAATGTGATTCCTCCGTATTTGAAGAGATGGTTTTAATATCGGAGATGTCTTAGAAATCATAAACCTCGAAGACATACCAAGAGAGCGAAATTTGCGAGGATCAAGAAGCGGGAAGGATATACGGGACCATTTCACAAAATATTTCAATAGTAATGGATCTGTACCGTGGCAATTAAGTAAAATACAGTTAATATTTTTTCTTATCTTACATAGTTACATACCTATTTCGGCTTTTTCTGCTTCGTTCAGGTTTTCATAAATAAATGTATCGATGATTTCTTGCCAGGCGGCTTTAGTTTTATTCCTATCCTTAAAATCCTCTCTTGTCTTGTCCCATATCACGGGCCTTTCTTCCACCATAGAAATAAATGCCTCAATATCTAAATCTTCCATTTCGCACCTCATGACTACACTGTCTAAACGGAAATGAAACTACGACTCTGTACCACGGCGACAGTAGAATCCCCGTTCGTGTGTCAACAGGCATAGACTTGCATGCATTGAAATGAACGCGCCGGTTAATTTACCGACCGGCAGTTGTGTGTTCGCCGTCCAAATTTTAATATGAACGGCGGCCGGTCGGCAGAATAGCCGGTACCGGCAAGTGTGTTAAGTTGTATTCGAATGTGGGCAAAATACCATCTTCCGATTTTCTTGCCGGTCGGTGGAACAGCCGGTCGGCGGATTGCACGTTCGTGTGCAAGAGCCCTAACCCGCCGGCATACCCCGGCGGCAATGCCGGCGGCTTTGTATGCCGCCGGGTATACGGAGGCTTAGCCGGCGGCTTGCCCGGCGGCCCTGCCGCCGGCACTTTGTGTAGCAGCCTTAAGACTAGTTCCGGGAACTAGTCTTATTCCAGTAGCATTTACCTTCCATAAGGACAGTCTGTTAAGAGGAATCTTTGATAAAGGAAACTAAAAAATAACCTGATTAAACTCGGAGATTAATTATTTAACGTATAAACATACATGCGTAATCCCATAATCCAATGAAGTCAAATGATTATCTTGAACATGTTTGCCCTTAAGTATTCCATCCCAGCCCATGTATATGTGTAAATATTCTCAGGGGCAAATAAAATAACTCCTGATAAGTCTCGTGCGTCCTCATTCGATATTCTCAAAACAGATAACAGTAATGTTGTAGGTGTCCTTCATTGGGTAGCTTCTCTACTATATTCCTCTATCAGATTTTATTATTCATACGTTTGCAGTATTACCACCCTCAAGCTGCCTCAATACTTTCAATTACATTATCATCCATGACCAGACAACGGATAATTTTTAAAACCTCAGCTTAGATCGATTCTATAAAAAATGCCCGAGCACTCAACCTGTTTGTACGGCTAGTTCATATATTCCAGTAGCAGCGCCTCAATTTTTCGGTGGTGTCGGATAGATAAATTACCTTTTATAGTCCACCTGCATTACAATAATGAAAGTACATGCGACACTAGACTACCTTTCTGTGCTGTTAAAAATGTCATGGTATTATCCCTCTACCTTGTACGTCGTGCTACGTGAAAGGTAATTCTTTTTATTTGACTATGAATCATACAGCGCAAAGCTCCTGCAAGGATTTATGATGTTAACTGGGAAGGCAAAAGTATCTCTTTATATATAAGTTTTCTCCCACTTCAACTTTGTTCAGCAAAGTCAGAAAAATAGCGTCAAGTAGATTGACGCAGTGCCGTATAGCATCAGAAGCTTCCAGAAACATCAAAAGTGCGAGATTTCGAAACATCCACCCACTACGACTTCCAACCCCAACTTCCAACGTCTTAACCGAAACTTCGAAAAATGGTCAAGGGCCCCTGATATGTCATTAAAGATCACAGTAGTGGTCGGAATGTGGTACGATAAACAGGAGTTCAAGGACATATCTGGTCATACAATGGAGTTCCATTAACATGAAAACCACATGATACGTTTTAGGAATTACATTAGTCAAAAAACAAGGTTACGTTTTTTGGACGTAGGTCCGTTGCGAAATATTTCTTATTTGATATTCACCTCTACAGAATATGTCTTCTTCTAATCGTACAGTAAATAATTATAAATAAATTGTCGCCAATGCCCTTAGGATTTGCAGATACAGATGAATTACAATCTTATAATAGAAATTATGCATTGTGCGTTTGGGTCGATATACAAACTGATGTGTTCCAGTTCGTTAAAGAATTATTGTTCCTTTAGTAGAACATCAAATTCGGTTATTGCTATTATAATACTATGAATGCTACTTTAGTATTAACTATTACGATTCATAGCTCGATGTCTATAGATCAAACGGCTGAGGCAAGGGCTTCAGAGCATTTGAAAAGTATCAGTGTTAGTGTGACCATATTCAGACTTCAATCAGTGATTTTCTTATGTAACTAGTCAAAAGATTGTTATTATTTATAACGGTATCTTTTATAGAACTCTCACTCACTTTAATAAAGAGCACATTCTAATCTGAATCGCTAAAATATTGAACATCTTTAATCTGAATGAATGAACCACTTATCAAGGATATGGTATTATAGACCATCAATCTCCATGTTCGACTAGCCAAAAATGTAAAGTAAACCGTACCTCACCAACTGCTAGTAAGGGCAAATTAGAAATAATATTTGACACATATATAGAGTAAATGGATTGATTGTTCAAAGTTCGTTTTGTTTGGATGAACATCCTACGTACAAGTACATAAATTTATATCCCGACATTCGCAATTTCATGAAAAAATATTTTATTAGTAAACAACATGCGCAATGCAGGTATCTATAACGAACAGCAAAATAAAAAATTATCGTTCAATTCGCTTGGAATTCGTAATATGAAAATAAATATTTATGAGTGTCATGTCCTATTGGAAACATGCCATTCTTCAATAAATAGCTTCGGTAACCTTTCGATTGTTAGTGAATATTATACATGTGTGATACCATTGCATTTTTCAATATAATTGTAATGCCAATATTCATCTTGCTATTGGAAAGATGGGTGGTCGATGAATTCTTTCATATGGTGCCAAAGGTATGGCTATAAGGTATACGCAATATGGAGAAGCAATGTTGTCTTGTTTGACATAGAGTTAAGTTCTACCTTTTTGATTAACTACTCTGAATAAATTGCCAATCATTTCCCCAAAAATATCAGTACAAGAATTCAAGCCCGTACGGATCAATTGGAAATGGAAAAGCAGACCGCCAAGCATAATTATCAGCAAACCTATTCACATATACCGCAACCGAAAGTGTCCCAGCTATAACATTCCCGCAAAAACTGAGCGTTTGAAACTTAAAACCCTAACTGGCAGAACAATCCATCAGAGACGATTAAACTCAAACCGATATTCGTACCATGGACAACAAACAGAAGGCACCAATCCCTCGTAACCCAGCTTCGTTCACGCCACAACCGGATCACACATGAGTATCTCATCAGCCATGAGGCAGGTGCGAAGTGTGTGGAATTAATCTCAGTGTTAAACACATTAGTGCAGTACCCGTTATTAAAACACTTTTCAGAGTTATATGCCACTGAAATCGTAATGTGTGCGAGAGAGAAGCTCGATAAGCAATACGTGCGTTAGAAGGAGATAGAAGCACCTCGGCGCGTAGCAACCCGTGTAACAAAGCCACGGACGCCTCTTGCGCATCGTTTCGTACACATTACGATTTCAGCTAAATTTGAACCACGAGTAGAAGAAGTAGAATGAATGCACAACTTTTCAAGTTTCTTACAGCTAAGCAATTTGTCGTATAAATTATAGCATACAAGGTTTGTCCGGAAAATACGTATACACAATTTGAGGCGTCGTGTCTAGGCGTTGTGGAGGTGTGGCCCGGTGGTTCCCTCTCACGATACACATACACTGAAAATAGGATATTTCGCATGTGGGCGGAGCTTCGTGACGTCACCCGGAGAGTTATCGGCTCGTGATTACCAGCGGCAGGATTGTCGTAACGTTACTGCAGTTCACGTGTATCGTGGTTAATACTATACAGGGTGACTTTGAAGTTGAGTCATTAATTTTCAGATAATGATTGTAGAAGGAAGATAAACCAGAATATGTGTGTAAAAATAAAAAAAAATTAAAAAAAAATGTTTACCTTGTTTTATAAAGTATCCTCCCGACAAGTATTTCAGTGCGGACCTGTATTTGATCGTGAGGTCCCCTGTGAGGTCTTAAGTCACCTGATTCACGAGCCCGTTGTACTACATTAACAAAGGCACGAGGGGTTGGTTGCACTCGATTGGGAAACCGATCCGCATAAACATGTGCCATTTTTTATTTCGTTTGAGCCACGCAACAGACACTATTCACACGCTAACCGACAGACACTGAGTGTATGTATAACTGAACTGAATAAAATACTTAATTGCAAAAACGTTCCAAATTCTTTCGCTTTTTTGTTTCCGATGCGATGAACTGGTAAGGCGGATTATATCCGTTGTTGCCAAACACGAGTACATGATACTCGTATTATTATTGAGACAGGGCGGTACTCAAACTTCCAAAGGGCTATAACTTTGTTACTTTAATTTTACCAGAAAAATGGTAAAGGAAAAAAACATTTCTTTTGATCAGATCTACTCACTGTTAAAATAAATGACTCAACTTCGAAGTCACCCTGTATAGTGTGATTTGTTGGTGAGTTTTGGTGGTTTTGTGACTTGTTGTATTAGTTATACATACCTTATATACCCTTTGTGGTTGATAAATTGATAAAAATGCGGTGTGCTGTTGTGGGATGTAATTCCGACAATCAATCTAAACGGAATTTTTGCAAAGACATGAATTTCCACAGTTTTCCTCAAGACCCAAACTTTAGCAAAAAAATGGCTACATTTCACAAAAAGATAAGACAAAGTCAGTGTAAAAAGCGCTAGGGTTTGCTAGAAAATGCTCTAGAGGATCTGAAACGACGCTTCAGCGTCCAATACCTGTTAACAAGACGTCTTAATCAAGATGTGATAGAAAACTTTTTCGTAGTAATTAGGGCAAAAGATGGTCTTCATGGCCATACAAGTCCTCTAGAGTTTAAGTATAGAATAAGGTCATATAAGTTGGGGCGAAACGAAGGCGCATACTCAGAGTACCTATTGCAGCGTAGAGTCAGAGGATACTCCAGACGTTCCACTAACCACTAACGGCATCATTAACGAGAATAAACTGAATGCACCTGAAGTATCAGCTGACTATACCGAGCAAGTTTTAGTGGAAGAAATAGATGAGCTCA